CCCTTTTGAAGAGAAAAATTGGTTTTAATAGGGTTCTCTAGTATGTCACCTAGTACCACATTCAGGAAAATAGGATTGTTATTATAGATTTCATTGTATGAGTGTTTTTTCTACATGTATGTATGTATGTACATGTGTGTGCCATTTGCCTTTGCAGGTTAGAAGAGGACACTGGATCATTTGGAACTAGAGTTACAGATGGCTATGAGTCACCATATGGGTGCTGGGAATTGAACCTGGATCCCCTGAAAGAACAAGTGTTCTTAACCACTGAGCCATCCCTTCAGGCCCTGGAAAAGAGGACTTCATCCTAGAAAAATGAAAACAGTAATTTTCTGGAGTCAGACAGCTGTTGGAGTACTTAATAATACCTAGTAAATTCCTCTGTAAATTATTTTAAGCTGGCCCAGGGAGCCATTGAAGGATATGCAGTTAAGGAAAACATTACACATACATACCACAGATAGCCTGTGATGAACTAGATTTAATTTTTCCACAATGGAATATATACTTAGAATCATCATGTTATTGTAATAGTAGCACGTAGGAGGCTCAGACAAGAGGACTGCCATCTTCTCTGAAAAATAAAGACTAAACAAGAGATCAAAGTGTTAAATTTTAAAAATTGTATAGGTAAAAGGGGACAATCACGTAAGTAATTCTGAGCATGCTAAGTGGATGAGCCTGGAAAGCATTATGTTGAGGGGAAATACTATCTGATTCCATATGCATGAGGGAGGTGTCTGCTGTAATCATCAGAAAGTAGAAGGAAGACTGGGGGATTATCATTTTAGGGGTATAGTTTTCAGTTTGGAAAAATGAAAAAGTTGGGAAATGGAATGGATGGTTGCAACAGTTGCAATGTATGTCTCAAAGTGGCTAATATGGCAAAATTTTTAATTATGTGTGCTTTATCATAATAATGAGAAGTAACAATACCTACGTAAAATTCTATAAGATTGGTTTGCGATTTTTTTCAAAACTCTAAATCTAATGTGAGTACTGTGATGTTCTATGTACTTTGGGAGTTTCTATTTAACTGCCTTTAGTTCCTACATGGTGAAACAGTATTTAATGTTATTTATCCAATCAGAATATCAGGGTCTCTGTACACAGTGTTGCCCTCAGAGCCTTAACCTTATTAAGTGTTCAGTAACTTTTGTTGGATGATAAAGACTTAAATAACTGTTTTATTTTTATAATTTCTAATTCTCATTAAAATAGACACGTTAGGCTGGGTGTAGTGGCAAACACCTTTAATCCCCGCACTTGGGAGGCAGAGGAAGAGGCAGGTGGCTCTCTACGACTTCAAAGCCAGCCTGGTTTACATAGCAAGTTTCAGGCCAGGCAAGACTATATAAGAAGGCCCACACCTCCTGGTGCTTTACCAGAGGCCAGGTGGGCCCTAGAGACTCCAGGTAAGACTTGGCCTGCAGCCTGCTAACACCACATAAGCCCGCCCAACAACCCCAGACTGCACTCCATTCCCCTCGGCTCCATATTCTGGCAAACAACTTTGGCAGAAGACTTATGTTTTACCAGAGGCCAGGCTGGATCTAGTGACCCAAGATAAGACACCACCCACCACCTGCTAACGCTTATTTTTAAGCCTGAATAACAACCCCAGACTGCATCCCATCCCCTGGGGTCCATATCCCTGCCCAAACCTTCAGCTGCCAGGCCTGATCTAGGGACCTAAGGTAATCCCAGCTTGTCACTGGTCCCACTGCTGGGCCCTGCCCCCAACCCAGTGGACTTTTGCCACTCAGGGGCAGGCCACACCAGTCAGAACAGAATCAGTGAGTGACCTGAAAAAACTGCACCATTCCCTAAATTCTGTATCCCAAGACCTTTCCCACAGCCCACTCTATCCCAGCTCATCGCTGGTCCCTCTGCTGGTCTCTAGCCCCAACCCATGGACTTCCACCACTCAGGTGCAAGCCACACCAGTCAGGACAGGCACAAGAAACACCAGCTTGATCAGGCTCCAGCTGCTCAGGTGTAGGTCATATCAGTCAGAAAAAGGATGCAGGCCATACCAATCTGAAGTATAGAGACCAAAGGCCAAATTAACCACTAGAAGGCCAAATCCCAACTTAGATAGAAATTCCCAACTAGACCAGAGGTTATGCCAGCCACTAGAAATCTGGGCAACGAAGAAGAGAAAACCAAAGAGGAAACAGAAATCAAGGAACAGAACACTTATCCAACAAAGACAAACTCAGAAATCAAGGACTCAAAGCATCTCAAACCCAGATACCTAAACAACAGTGTAAAAATACAATCAACAACAGCCAGGGCAATATGTCACCACCAATAGCAAGCTATCCTACAATAGCAAGACCTGAACATTCCAACACAGCTGAAGCACAAGAAAATGAGCTTAAAAACAACTTTATGAAGATGATAGAAGTCCTTAAAGAGGAAATGAAAAACTCCCTTAAAGAAATCGAGGAAAAAACAAACAAAAAGTAGAGGAAATCACAAATCCTTTTTTTGTGTATTTATTTTACAATACTATTCAGTACTACATAACAGCCACAGATTCCCTTATTCTCTCCCTTCCTGCCCCCTCCCCTTCCCCCCAGCCCACCCCACAAATCCTTTAAAGAAAGCCAGGAAAAAAAAACAGGTGAAGGATATGAAAATAGAAATAGACATGGATCCATTCACGACATGAAAATAGAAATAGAAGCAATAAAGAAAACACAAAGTGAGCAAATTTAGGAAATGGAAAATCTGGGTAAGTGAAGAGAAAGAAATAGAAGAGAGAATCTCAGGCATTGAAGATACAATTGATGAAATAGATTCATCAGTTAAAGAAAATGTTAATCCAAAAAAACTCTTAACACAAAACATCCAGGAAATCTGGAACACCATGAAAAGACCAAAAACTAAGAATGATAGGTATAGAAGAAGGAGAAGAATCTCAGCACAAAACCCCAGAAATATACTCAACAAAATCACAGAAGAAAATTTTCCTAGCCTAAAGAAAGAGATGCCTATAAAGGTACAAGAAGCTCACAGAACACCAAATAGACTGGATCAGAAAAGAAAGTCCTGAGTCACTTAATAACCAAACACTAAACATACAGAATAAAGAATATTAAAAGCTGCAAGAAAAAAGGCTAAGTAACATATAAAGGTAGAGTTATTAGAATTACACCTGACTTCTCAATGGAGATGCTAAAAGCCAGAAAGGCCCTGGATAGACGTTTTGCAGATACTAAGAGACCACAGATGCTATCCTAGACTACTGTACCCAGCAAAATCTTCAAACACCATAAATGGAGAAAATAACATATTTCATGACAAAGTCTGTAGTTTGGAATTTTCTTTGCACAATCAATCAGCGCCCAAATAAGGACACAGAGACTCATCACTAATTATAAATACTCAGCCTAGCTTAGGCTTATCCCACTAGCTCTTTTAACTTAATTTAACCTGTTTCTATTCATCTATGTTTTGCTTTGGAGCTTTTTACCTGTATTTAATTCTGTATGTTCTACTTTCCTGCTTCCTCCTTGTCTCTCTGTCTGGCCCCTGGTGCTTCCCTCGCGTCTTTTTTTCTCCCACCCACCCCCAAACCTAGATTCTTCCTCCTACTTACTGTCCTGGCCCAGAAGTCCTACCTATACCTCCTCCTCCTCCTCCCTTGCTGTTGGCTATTCAGCTTTTTATTAGACCAATCAGGTGCCTTTAGGAAGGCAAGGTAAAATAGAAACACATCTTTACATAATTAAACAAATGCAATTCATCTTTGCATAGTTAAACAATATTCCACAACATTTCCCCCTTTTGTTTAAATAAAAAAAGTTTAGCTTTAACATAGTAAGATGATATACACAAGAACAATTATTAAGTAAGAATTACATTTACAATATCCAGTCCATTACATTTGACAAATTCAGAGAAAATATTCCATTATCTATCCTATCTTGGTGAGTCCAAAGTGTTATGCCTAATTTACTTTCTATCCTAACCCGTACTACCAACCCCAAATTATCTTTTAGACCGCAAAACATTTTTTAGATAAACAATTTAAGCTTTTATGTTTTTCAACCTTATACACGTTACATCTCTTATGTAAGTTTCTTCCCTAAATTTGGTAACAAGGAAAACTACAACTATCCCATTTTTCAACTCCATCAGAGACCCAAGAAGGATATAATATTACCTGAGTAAACAGTAAATGCAGAGCAAGAAACTTCCTAAACTATATAAATGACAAAGACATCTGGCTGCCTGGACCCAAGGTTCCTCTGCAATGTTAGAGCATCCATCTTCGGCCTACAGGCCTAGAATATCTGACAGATTTTTCTGTGTAATAGCAATTTTGAAGGACTGTATCACCTTGTCTTAGCAAAGTTCGGCAGTCTTTTTCTTTTGTGTTCTGTTTGTCTAGTTTGTCCAGTATACTGTCAGCAGTTGAGACAGGGCAGTTTCTTACCCTAATGGCTAACTTTGCCACAATGAAAGCAAACTCAATATGGAGGTTTATGGATTCCCATCATCATCCTTTTATGAAGTAGTGCTGCCAGGAGCAGATGTGTCTTACCTTCATGAAAAGCCTTAGGTATTGAACATCTTAAAAGCCATATTCTGTAGAGCTATGAGGTGTTTGATGATCTCCTGTCTATCTAAACTATACTTGTTTAACCTTAAAAACATGCCTAACATGATTGATTATAAGTATGATTGTTATAGATGACTACCAACCTGCATTTCTTAATTATCTTAAACAGTTTGTAATAATAGCTTTCAAGGACTAGGTCTTTATATTACATTTTAAAAAGAGCTGCATAGGTACACTATCTTAAACAAGAGAAGAAACATATAATGCATAATAAAAATAACCTTAAGTTTGTATCAATATACAAAAATCCATACCAATATAAAAGGTTTGAGATGAATAGTTGTCTTTTTATCCTATATTCCTATATACCCATTAAATGATGACAAACATCCATAACCCACCAAATGACCAAAAAATGACCTACCCCATCTTGGGAATGTGGGCATTGTGTTCTCTAGACTGCTTCCTGTTGTCTGGGGTTGATGGCATCCACAATAGACCCTGAGAAAATTGAGATAATGGTCAAGTCCTATGAAAACTAGCTGTAACGTTTGTTGTCCAGTCTCTTTGTAATGGGAAATTGTAAGGCTTATGTAAAGTCCTGGCTAGAATAATCCATGAGGCTGAACCATTTCTGAATGCAGAACTCTGAGGAAACTGCAGCAAAGGCACTCTGAAAGGCTGCATCACCTGGGCCAACCATTTTCATTGGTGTCTGGTTCCCTTGCTCTGAAAACACATAAACTTTCAAAGGTAACATACATATCTGTATTAACACAAGTATGGACTGCATGTTATAAATAAGCCTGCCAAAGGTAATTTTTTGTTTTATGTTTGAGTAGGTAAAAGACATCCGTCAACTTTATAAGTTTGTTTAAACTGTATAACCAAACCACTATCCATGCCATATGAAAGGATGGCATGTGATAAAAGGCATGGGGACTCTGTAGCCAACAATATTGATCATGTCTCATCTGTTCTCACAGCTGTTCCCATGTCAAGGGATCAGCATATACATCACCTGTCTTGTAGTTTTTCTAGGTTTATTTCATTATGTCTGTAGCCAAGATTTTCAGGGTGTCTTCCCCAACCAAATCTGGTCTCTATTAATTTTGAAGTAATTCACAGCCTGTCATTTCCTGTGGAAACAAAAGCATAAGCTCTCAACCAATGCAATACATCTTCTGAATTCCATTTTAAAGTTAATACATCCCTAAAGTATCTAGGCTGGCTTAATTCAGCAGTTCCTTTTACAATCCTATGTTTCTCAGCAGCTGCCGTTCATTCAGAAGCATTCAAAAAATTCAAACTCAACAAAACACCATATAGAATCCAGACTCCCCATGGATTTCTCATCATTACATGGCTTATTCTTTTTATATTACTTTACTCTTTCTTTAAAGACTTTACTTAATTATTTTTAAGCTAATTTTTCCTATGATTGTCTAAACCCATTTTCTTTCCTTTCCTTAAGCACCTACACATACTGTAACGTGTTTAAAGGTTTTTTTCAGTCTGGACCTGTTTTACTGTGCACCTGTAGAGTTCTCTGACCACATGAGCCAAACCTTAAACTGCTAAGTGGTAGCTAGGCCCCTCTACTTTGCAGCTTTGGTGGTTGACTCCACCCCCTCCTCAGGTCCCTGAGAACCAAGCCTTAAGCCTGCAGCTCTGGCCTGGAGCTGTGTTTAACTAAGAGCTGTATTTAACTGCCCGGGCACTAGGAAGTTGGTGCCTGCACTATGGCAGGCATTTTTACTTAGCTTTCTGTTTCTCAAGTGCTCTGCTGCACAGTAGTGCCTCTTAAAGAGCCATATCCTTTTCTAAAATCATCTTTCTCAGGCCCTATGTGGAAATTCGTGCCCCATGTTTGGCGCCATTTGTAGTTGGAATTTTCTTTGGGCTGCCAACCAGCTCCCAAATAAAGACACAGAGACTTATTATTAATTATAAATACTTGGCCTACAAATGGAGGGAGGGACAGAGAGGGAGAGCAATGAAAGAGATCTTGGTAGAGGGAGCCATTTGGGGGTTAGGAAGAAACCTGGTACTAGGGAAATCCCAGGAATCCACAAGGATGACACAGCTAAGATGCCAGGCAATAATGGAGATGGTAACTGAATTTACCCTCCCCTATGATCAGATTAGTGACTACCTTAATTGTCATCATAAAAGCTACATCCAGTAACTGATGGAAACATATGCAGTGATCCACAACCAAGCACTGGTCTGAGCTCCTAGACTACAGTTGAAGAGAGAGGGATGAGGGATCACAGAAGCAAGTGAGGACAAGATCATGATGGGGAAAACCACAGAGACAGCTGACCCAAGCTGGTGGGAGTTCATGGACTCTGGCCTGTCAGCTGGGGAACATGCATGGGACCGAACTAGGCCCTCTGAATGTGCTTGACAGTTATGTGGCTAGATCGGTTTGGGAAGTCCCTGGAAGCGGGACCAAGACTTATCCCAGGTGCATGAAATGGCTTTTTGGAACATATTCCCTAGGGTGGGATACCTTGCTCAACCTTGATACAGTGGGGAAAGGATTGATCCTGCCTCAACTTAGTATGCCAGACTTTGTTGAGCCCCAAGGGAGGACTCACCCTCTCTGAGGAATGGATGGGGGTTGGGATGGGGGAGGTGGGGGGGCAGGAGAAGGGGAGGGAGAGTGAACTGGGGTTGGTATGTAAACTGAAAAAAAACATTAAAAAATAAATAAATTTTAAAAAAAGTTTTTAAGGAAAAAAAATTCTTGGTCTAGCTTAGGTTTATCCCACTAGCTCTTTTAAATTAATTAATTTAACCTGTTTATATTCATCTACATTTTGCCTTGGGGCTTTTTACCTTTATTTAATTCTGTATGTCCTACTTTCCTGCTTTTGCCTTGTCTGGCTGGCTGGCCCCAGGCATCTTCCTGGGCTCTCATTCTTTTTCTTCTTCCCTCAAGCCTAAATTCCCCCTCTTCCTTACTGTCCCCTCCCAGAAGTCACACCTATATCTCCTCCCTCACTGTTGGCCATTCAGCTTTTTATTATACCTATCAGGTGCCTTAGGCAGGCAAGGTAAAAGAGCAACACATTTTTACATAATTAAACAAATGCAACACATCTTTACATAGTTAAACAATATTCCACATAGAAAGTCAAATTTAGAAAATATCTATCCACAAATCCTGCCCTACAGAAGGTACTAGAAGGAAAACTACAACTCAAGCAAGTTAACTACACCCATAAAAACATGGATAATCTCACCCAGCAAAATCCAAAGAAGGGAAACATACGCACGCACGCACGCACGCACGCACGCACGCACGCTCATCACCAACATATTAACAGGAATTAACAATCAGTGGTCATTAATATCTTTTAACAATAAAAAGACACAGGCTAACAAAACGGATATGAAAACAGGATCTGCTCTTTTGCCACATACAAGAAACAAACTTCAACATCAAAGATAGACATGACCTCAGAGTAAAGGGTCGCAAAAATATGGACCTAACAAGCAAGCTGGTGTAGCTATTCTAATATCTAAAAAAAATAGACTTCAAACCAAAATTAATTAAAAAAGAGGGAGAAGAACATTTCATACTCATTAAAGGAAAAAAATCCACCAGGATGACATCTCAATTCTGAACATCTATGCCCCAAATGCAAGGGCACCCACATTTGTAAAAGAAACATTATTAAGCTTTTAAGCTTAAATCACACACCAAACCCACACGTTAATAGCAGGAGACTTCAACACCCCATTCTCACCATTGGACAGGTCATCCAGACAGAAACTAAACAGAGAAATAATGGAACTAACAGATGTTATGACTCAAATGGACTTAACAGATATCTACAGAACATTTCACCCAAACACAAAAGAATATACCTTCTTCTCATCACCTTATGGAACATTCTCCAAAATTGACCACATACTCAGTCACAAAGCCAAGTCTCAACAGATACAAGAAAATTGAAATAGCCTCCTGCAGAATATCAGACCAATATGGATTAAGGTTGGATTTCAACAATAAAACAACAGAAAGCCTGCAAACTCATGGAAACTGAAGAACTCTCCAGCACTGGGCCAAGGAAGACATAAGAAAGAAATTAAAGACTTCCTAAAATTCAATGAAAATCAGGCCTAACATACCCAAACTTATGGGACAAAATAAGTGGTGCTGAGGAAAATTGAAAGCACGAAGTGCCTACATAAAGAAGTTGGAGAAATCTCACACTAGTGACTTAACAGCACAACTGAGAGCTCTAGAACAAGAAGAAGCAAACTCACCCAGGAGAAACTGACACAAGGAAATAATCAAATTGAGGGCTGAAATCAATAAAAAGGAACAAAGACAATAACACAAAGAATCAATGAAACAAATGGTTGGTTCTTTGAGGAAATCAACAAGATAGATAAATCCTTATCCAAACTAACTAAAATTCAGAGAGAGCATCCAAATTAACAAAAACAGAAACAAAAAGGGGAACATAACAACAGACACTGAGGAAATCCAGAGAATCATTAGGTCCTACTTCAAAAACCTGTCCTCCAGAAAATTGGAAAATCTAAAAGAAATGGAAATTTTTCTCAATAGACACCACTTACCAAAATTAAATCAAGATTAGATAAACAATTTAAATAGATACATAACTCCCAAGGAAATAATAGAAGCAGTCATTGAAAGTCTCCCAACCAAAACAAAAACAAAAAAAAAAGCCCAGGGCCTTTAAATTATTCCACAAAATAGAAAGAGAAGGAACATTTCCAAATTCATTTTATGAGGCAATCACCCTGATACCCAAACCACACAAAGATAACACAGAAAGGTAATTGCAGACCAATTTCCCTCATGAACATAGATGCAAAAATACTCAATAAAATACTCACATACTGAATCCAAGAACACATGAAAAAGATCATCAACCATGATCAAGTAAGCTTCAGCCCGGAGATGAGGGGATAGTTCAACGTATGAAAACCTGTCAATGTAATCCATCATATAAACAAACTGAAAGAAAAAAATTCACATGATCATCTCATTAGATGCTGAAAAAGCCTTTGACAAAAATCCAACACCCCTACCTGATAAAAGTCTTGGAGAGATCAGGGATACAAGGGACCTACCTAATCATAATAAAGGCAAATTCCATGACCTATTTCTTCTATCCTTAACTTTAAAGCCACAACCACGTGGCCAAAGCTGCCAAGTTCTGCTGCTTGCTGGCACTGGAACATGGCCCCCTTGTTCAATTACATCTTCATCAGCTTTCTGTCCTTCACTGCCTAAGCTTGGCTGTCCTGAAACTTGCTCTGTAGACCAAGGTGGCCTCAAATTCAGAGATCTACCATCCTTTTCCTTCCAAGTGCTGGGATTAAGGTGTGTACCACCACACCTGGCTCTAAGCTTTTCTTTAGTTACTTTTCACAAATTGGAAATTTAGCTAGGTGGGATGTTGCTCTGAGGACATCACTCCCTTTATTCCATTTCTTAATCTGTTTATCTCCTTGAACACAGGATTTAGCTGCATTCTACTTCCTGGTGCTCCTTTTCTCAATCTGTACATTTTGTATTTTTATTTGCTCAGCTTGCTCATTTTCATTATAAATCTTCATTAGAGTTACCACTAATAACCACAGGACAGAGTGATTAGTTAATTCCTCTACCAGAAGAATTAATCCAAAACTCTTCACTTTAGTCTCAGACAGACTTTTCAGACAAGGGCAAAGAGCAGCCATATTCTTCACCAAAACATCATAAGAACAATCTCTAGGCCACATAATAAAATTCTTCTCCTCTGAAACCTCTTGAGCCAGCCCTCAACTGTTCAAATAACTCTTAGCACCACTGTCTTCCATGCTCCTATGAGTATGGCCCATTAAGCAGTGCTTAAAGCATTCCGCTGCTTTTCTAATCCACAGTCTCAATGTCCATATTCCCTTAAACAAAAACATGCTCAGGCCTATTACAGCAATGCCCCATCCCCTGGTACCAACTTCTATTTTAGTTAGGGTTTCTATTGCTGTGAAAAGACACTGACCACAACAACTCTTGTAAGGAAAACATTTAGTTGGGGTGGCTTAGCGTTTCAGAGGTTCAGACCATTATCATCATGGCAGAGATCATGGCAGCATGCAAGCAGACATGATGCTGGCTATATCTCTATCAGAAGGCAACAGGACATCAATTGTGACACTGAACAAAGCTTAAGCAAGAGACCTCAAAGCCTGCTCCCACAGTGACATACTTCCTCCAACAGGGCCACAACTACTCCAAAAAGGCCACACCTCCTAAAAGTGCCACTCCCTATGAGCTTATGGGGGGGCCAATTACATTCAAACAAACTACCACACCTTTGGACATTTGATTTTTGACACCAAACCAAAATTATAGAATGGAAAAAAGAAAGCATCTTCAATAAATAACCACTGTGCTGGTCTAACTAGACGTTGACATGTAGAAGAATGTAAATAGATCCATATCTATCACATTGCACAAAACTCAAGTTCAAGTGGATCAAAGACCTCCACATAAATCCAGATATACTGAATCTGATAGAAGAGAGAGAGGGGATAGCCTTGAATGCATTGGCACAGGAGACTACTTCCTGAATAGAACACCAATCACACAGGCACTAAGATCATAATAAATGGGATCTCATGAAAATGAAAAGTTTCTGTGAGGCAAAAGAAACCATTAATCGGAAGCCCACAGAATGGGAAAAGATCTTCACCAAATGCATATCTGAAAGAGGGCTAATATCCAAAATATATAATGAACTCAAGAAACTAGACATCAAAAAAATCAAATAAAACACTTAAAAAAATGGGGTACAGATCTAAACAGAATTCTCAATAGAAGAATCTCAAATGGCCAAGAAGAATTTAAATAAATGTTTAAAATGTTAAGCTGTTGTTTGAATCTAGATGGATTTTTAATTAAAAAAAAAAAAAAACAGAGCCAGATATCAGGGTGAAAGCTAAAGGATCAGAGAAGCAGAACAGCCAGCCACTAGCTACAAAATCCTCAGCCTCAAAACAACAAGTTCCTGTTTCCTCACACCTTATCTACCTTTCTCTGCCCTCCCATATTACTTCCTGGGATTAAAGGTGTGTGTGCTTCCCAAGCAAAGGCATGAGATCTCAAGTGCTGGGATTAAAGGTATGTGCCACCACTGCCTGACCTCTATGTCTAATCCAGTGGCTGGCTCTGTCCCTCTGATCCTCAGGCAAGTTTATTGGGGCACACAATATATCACCACACTTAGCCATCAGGAAAATGCAAATAAAATGAGATTTTATCTTACACTTGTCAGAATGGCTAGGATAAAAAACACAAGTGAAAGCTAACTTTCTGAGGACTTGATCTTTATCTCAACTATTTCAGGGTCCCCTAATGATCGTGTCCCCAGACAGCAGGAAGTGATTTTAAGAACACGATACCCACATTCCCAAGAGATGGGGCATATGGTTTTCGGTTGTTCAATGGATATTTGTTATTGTTTAGGGACGTTGGTTACATGTTGTTATTGGTCATGGTCAGGGAGGAAACTAAGCAAAGGAAAATAGATTCAGGGATCTCATTCTGAAAAAAGGGGGATAAAAGGGTAGATTGTTGAATCTACTTTCAAACTAAAAAAACAGCTACTAGTCTCAAAACCCAACCACACTGGTATGAATTATTGTATATTGTACAAATTTAAAGTTATATTTGTTGTTGTATAATATATTTTTATTTCTTTTTTTAAGGTATTGTACTTATGAAGCCCATTTACAAATATAAAGTTCTATTCCTTGAAAGCTATTTAGGATTATTGAGAAATACAATTAGTCATCTGTAACAATCAAACTTACAGTCACATTAGGTATGCTTTCAAGGTCAAACAGAGACATATTTTAAATAGATAGAGGGTATTCAAACACTTCACAAACCTACAGAACATGGCATTTAAAAGGTTTAAATAACATAAGACTTTTCACGATAGTGAGACACGTCTGCTACTGGTAGCACCGACTTACTTCAAATGTGGATGATGGGCATCCAAGAACCTCCATATGTAGTTTGTTTTCATTTGTGGCAAAGTTAGTCACTGGGCACAGAAACTGCCCTTGACTTTGCTGACAATGTGCTGTCCAAATTGGACAAGCAGGACATAAAAGAAGGCAACTACTGAACTTTGCCAAGACAAGCTAGGATAGTCCTTCAAAATCCCTGCTTCACAGAAAAGTCTGTCAAATATTCTAGTCCCATAGGCTGAAGATGAATGCCCCAATGTTGCAGAGGAACCTGGGGTGACTATCCAGGCAGCCAGATGTGTCTGTCGTTTCATAGTTTTGGAAGTTGCTTGCTAAGCACTTCCTGTTTACTCAGGTAATATCATATCCTTGTCAGGTCTCTGATGGGGTTGAACATTAGATAGTTATAGTTGCAGTTTTACATAGTTATGATAGAAAGTAAATCAGGTACAAAACTTGGGACTCACCAAGATAGATATTATAATATAGGATAGATAATAGAGTATTTTCTTCGAATTTGCCAAATACAAATGGACTGGATATTGTGAATATAATTCCCACTTGGTAATTGTTCTTATTGTATAGTGTTTTACTATGTTAGAGTTAAAGCCTTTCCTTTTTATTTGGACAAAAAGAGGTAAATGTTGCAGGAGATTTGTTTGTGCTGCTGCTCTGAGACTGCCAATGGAGTCAGACCTTGGTTTAAAGGGTGGAGTCCACACTAAGCTGGCTGGAATGGACCACAGATTTTTCTGGCTGACTGAAAGAAGCTAGAGGGACACAAAGAAGGAGGAGCTAGTGAAGATGTGAGGGCCTTTTTGGGCAGGGAAGGTGGAGAAGAGAGAAGGTGATCATTTCTCCATCTTCCATGGATCTCTCAGGTTTTAATATTTAACTCCCTAGGGTTTTTTTAATAAAGCTATAAAAGAAGTCACAATAATAGCTCATGATGGAGAAGATGTTAAACAAGGTGCACACTTCTCCACTGCTTGTGGGAGTGTAAACTTGTACAGCCAATTTGGAAATCAACATGGCAATTTCTCAGAAAGTTGGAAATAGATCTACCTCAAGACCCAGCTATACCACTCCTGGGCATATACCCAAAGGATGCTTAATCATACCACAAAGATGCTTGCTCAACTATGTTCACAGCAGAATTATTCATAATAGCCAGAATCTGGAAACAACCTAGATGTCCCTCAACTGAAGAATAGATAAATAACATGTTGTATGTTTACACAGTGGAGTATTACTCAGCTGTGAAAAACAATGATACCAGGGGCTGGAGAGATGGCTGAGAGGTTAAGAGCACTGACTGCTCTTCCAGAGGTCCTCAGTTCAATTCCCAGCAACCACATGGTAGCTCACAACCATCCGTAATGAGATCTGGTGCCCTCTTCTGGTGTGCAGACATACAAGCAGGCAGAACTCTATATACATAATAAATAAATATTAAAAATGATATCAGGAAATTTGCAGGAAAATGGGTGGGACTAGGAAAGATAATCCTGAGTGAGGTAACCCAGACCCAGAAAGACAAACATGGTATGTACTTACTCATAAGTGAATATGAGTAAAGTAAAGTAAAATAAAATAAAGTAAAGGATAACCATGCTACAACCCACACACCTAGAGAAGCTAAGTAACAAAGAGGGCTCAAGCGGCGTGTGTGTGTGTGTGTGTGTGTGTGTGTGTGTGTGTGTGTGCGTGTGTGTGTGTGCGCGCGCGCACGCATAAAGTTCACTATGAAGGGGAAATAGAATGAACACTGACATTGGAAGGGGTGAGGGGCCTGTAAGGTGGGATGGGGATGGGAACAGGAGGGATCAGATGTGGGGGAGGATGGAGGGAGAGAGTACTAGAAGAGACAACTGAAATCTGGGGGCATCTCTGCGATGAGCTAGAAACCTAGAGCAATGGAAACTCCCAGGAATCTATAAGGGTGACCCTAGATAAGACTCCTAGCAAAGGGAATATGGAGCCTGAACCAACCAT